CTTAATTTTTAAAGACATCTCGTCGAGACATCTATCGATTTCTTAGTGTATAAGATTAATGGCCACATCACGTTGAAACACCGCTTCCCGTACGATTACCGAAGTTGAGCAACGTCGATACTGGCGAGTACCTAGATGGGTAACCATTTTGGAATAGTGTAAGCTTGGATGTATGGTTGTTGTATAGATAATGGCTCGTAATTGTTAATCGGAGAGCTCCAATTCCCGTTTGTTTTGTTATATTCACCTTTCAGGAAAGTATGAATCCACTTCTTCCCCCCAGCTGTGGGTTAATTAATATTACTTGTATCACAAAATTATTATTATCTCAAAAATAAAAATAAAAATCTTACAATGTAAAAATATTTTCTGGCATTAAATAACCTGTAAAAGTTTAGTAAACGGTGGAAACGAATCAATCAATCAAATATACTGTATAAAATCTTTATTGAAACAAAACAAGTTCAGTTGACCATTGATGACAATTCCAGAACAACGTAACTATAAACATTTTTTTCTATCCTTTGCCAGCCGCAATGATGGAGAAAGCATTACCTCGAACCATCGCCAGTGAGACACGCTGCAAGAGCCACTCCGTTTCGCGAGGTTCCTCCCTTAATCGAGACGCAATCGCGCCAATCCTCCGTAGGAATGCCATCGAACGAGGGCCAATAACGCCTGAAGTCTCCACTGCCACAGGAGTAAAAAAAAAAAAAAAAAAATCTATCAACAAGAGAAGAATATTTAACTATTTTTTCATCTCTGCGTCCCGGGCGACGGATCCCGTCTCAACCGCGGACCTGATCAAATTACCAGCCGAAAATGTATTCGCACAGGTCGCATCCCAAATCACCGACTCCCCCATTTTAAAAGGGAAAATGTTAATGCAATCTGGCCGCTTTCCATCACCGCGGTCGACGCCTACGGGTTCGATTTGGGAAGGGATTCGTATAAAATATATGACGTAGTATAAAACGGAAATCCAGTTTTATTATGACATCTCTAAAATACGATACACTTTTAGAAACTGCAATACATGTGATGCGCTTTAGGAGAGTAAGATATACATTTATGACTGTGTTTTTTTTTTAAAATTCTATTGTTCACCCAATACGAGGTTACAAGGTTACTGAATGTGGGTGATTGATGGACATAAGATTTGCAGACCATAGTGATATATAGGATAGATGATATTTGACCCTATATTTGATGAGGTTAAGACTGTAGTTGAAGCATCCTCTCGGGAGTATCCCACAAAGCAATGGGTCCTTAGGAATAACCTGTTCGAAAGAATTTTTCTTCTTACCAATTGAATACGAAAGCATGAGGATGGTTCTTCACTGTGGACATAGTATGGTGGGGTTTTGCATGCAGCAAATGTTTGAACTGGTGAGATGTAGCTTGTCAGAACATTTCTATGAAAATAGAGACGAACCAGCAAAAAGCTTGCCACGTTGCATCGGTGGGAAATAGTTAAAGAGTAAAAAATAATTCATCATCTACAAGGCCGCTCAACAATTTAAAACTAATTTTAAAGAGAGAGAGAGAATATTGGAACGCTCCAACCAGATATCTTTGAGTGGTATAGACTCACATTGGTCAAACACTAAATGAGAGTCGAGCTCACTATACGGGCGAATCGGCCTACAAGTTGACTTTGCCTAAAGTCGGGCTAAATTAGACGTCCACCTATTTGTCATATCATCCCGACGGCAAAGGCCTCTGGTCGGGAGAATGGTGGTTTGAGGAAGGTGGAATCACCTCTTAATTGCTGTTGTCCCCAGTTCCAGCTTGATCCGTGGTGGTAGATGTTAGAATCACAGTCATGGGTAAATAGTAAGCCTCCAAACTATGAAAGTATAAAAATACATTTTCATAGTAAAATACAAGCAATATATTGTTATATAAAAAGTTACCAACAATACATATTTATAGTGAAATTACCAACATATTTTCGCTGGTTCCCAAACTGCATGAATTTAAACCTGCTACTAGGTAGGCATCTCAGTTTCACTGCCGAAACGGATAAATGTCTGGCACTTCTCGTCTGTGGAACAGCTTTCACCTTACTTGTTTCCCTGATAGCTATGATCTCCAACTATTCAAATGCAATGTCAATCGACATCTCCAGATGCCTTGATTTATTCCTCGTCCTTCTCGTCATCCTTTCCTCTCTCGTGCCTCTTTACACCTGCTCCCACTCTCTGCAACAACTTGACTGTAAGTGGCACTCCCGCCTTGCTTGGGGTGAAATGCCTAAAAAAAAACTAACAAATTGTAACGATTTCACCCAAATCCGTTTAAAATTCTACCAAACAACAAACATGAAAGAACTCTTTCATGACATTAATCCATAAAATATCATACAATTTCTTAACTCAAACTGTATTCCAAAATATATATTCAACAAATCTACAACATAAAACAGATATATCACCGGCTCTTGTAAATGCCCAAATGCTGAGTATCTACCATGTATTCAAAAAAGTAGAATAACATATTGTATTTTTGTTATTTCCAAGCTCACAAGAAAATTAATTTTAGGCATTAGATGGACCATAAGGAGTTGAAATGCCGTTAAACAGACAAATCAATCAAAGTTCCTGGCGTCAGATCAAATTAAAACGTTTCATATCATTATGAACATTTTGCATACAGTTCCAATTTTCTTGATTTCAGATGAAATCTTGGAAATCTCCTAATATATTTAAATGAAGTTTTTACTTTCTGAAATTATGGCTTATAATTATTGTTTATATATATAGGGGGAAAAGAAGGTGTCAGATAAAGTGACATCAACAGGATATGGGTTTATAAAATTGCTTAGATTGATACAAATCTACAAATATAGTGTAACAACTGAAGACTGAATTTAGTACTCACATTTTTTAGCTATGGCCATGTTACAGGCTCGCAATTTTATCTTAGTATGGCAAAGGGCACAAATATTAGGTACACGGTGAATTTAAAAGTAACAAAAAGAAAGTAATGGTAGCTTTCTATCCATTACACGAGGGCAACGTATTCCATTACTAAGCTTAGCTTAATGCTAATCACAACTTTGTACACTTATCCAGGATGAACTCCCTGTATGCTAGAAAATATTTTGTAAATTACCTCGTTAACCATTACACCACAGTGTTGCATTGCTGGAAGGAAATACATCATGATGAAGCACCGAGTCAGGATCGAACTCCGTATTATCGCATGACGTGTTACAATGCATCAATGGCGCTATAGGAGGCTTTAGCACCCACTATACATTTTGCTTAAACTGAAAACTAATCAGGAGACTAATTTTGTCCTCTTAGTCCTTTTTTAATCTATGACAATACTTTTGATTTGCGCTGTATCGTTTGTCCCAAATCATCGCCATCGTGAATAACAAAACCCCATCTTTGTTTTTTGGAAACATTAACTAATGCAACTTCTATGAATTGAATTTCAAAATGAAAAATACAGTTGCGTAATATATCTAAACATACTCATTTCATAAGATCAAATAAAAAGATACAGCATCAGAAATAACTACAATTAGGCAATATATCATAAAACATATTCATTTTATAAGAATATAAGATAAAAAAAATACAAAATCAGAAATGATTACAATTGCGTAATATATCAAAAAATTATTCATTTTATAATAATATCAGATAAAAAAGTTGAAAATCAGAAATAGCTACAATTGGGTAATATATCATAAAAATATTCTTTTTATAAGAAACGATAAAATGATAATAAATCAGAATTAACGGCAATTGGATAATATATAATGAAAATATTAATTTTATAAGAATATCAGATAAAAAGATACAACATCAGAAATAACTACAGTTACGTAATATATCATAAAAAATCCATTTTATAAGAATATTAGATAAAAAGATACAATATCAGAATTAACTACAATTGGATAATATATTATAAAATGTTCCTTTTATAAAATCAGATAAAAGGTACAAAATCAGTAATCTTTATTTATCGTGGCCTCACTCTGCTTTTTTAACATCTGATTTAACCCTTCAACCAACTTTTTTTTTGTGAGGCCCCACATACTAAATTAGGAATAGGGAGAGATTAGAAATTAAGCGTTAAGACACAGATTTGACTAGAAATAAAAAAAAAGACTGCTAAATTCTTCTGTCATACCTATTCCCCTGCCTATTAGTAAGCTGTTGATATTTTTCCTTACAGATGAATAAAAGACTAGAAGCGACAGAAATGTAGTTCTCCAAAGGAATAGCAAGAATATTATGAACAGAACACGTAAGCAACGAAAAAGCTCTAGAGAAAATGGGCACAAAATAGTCATATATAAAACAGAAAAAAAAATCAGTTGAAAGATCTAGGACACATTATGAGGAAGAACCTGTCTATATTTCTGAGATGAGGTATTATGTACACTGTTTCATTATTCGGACCATTGTAATCACCTTTTTTGCCATACCTATCCATCACTGGATCTATCCACAGTCTTTATCCACTGTGCCATGTGTCCTTATTGAGTTCAATACGTGGTTAAGGCAGTGGAGAACTTAGAGAGGTGAATTAACAGGAGATAACTGATAACTGACATCCATTAGACATGGCACATGGAACTAGAACAGTCTACCCCAGTGAGCGAAATAAAGGATTCAGTTCGACATTCAAAACACCTGAAGAAGGCCGGAGCGTACAATGGCCGAAACGTTGTGATAAATATAGCAACAAAAATGAGGACAATAGTCAAATAATGTAAATAGTGAGAAAGGACTTGGAAAAGTTGGACTATTGAGAGAAAGAGTGGGAGAGAGAAACACCGAACAACTTTGCTAGTTAGTTTGTGCAAAAGTATGGCAAAGCATGTACAAGGAGAAACGATAAAGAGCCAGATGTAGCTTAGAGCTACAAGGGGTACTAAGTCTTGGAGAGTCATGATCGCCCATATCCTGAAGGGATAGAGTACGTAAATGATTATGATCGCAATATAGACATATAACAGTGCATATCTAAAAGGCTTACGTCCATATGACGTTGTAACACCGGTTCACATCCGATCATCAAAGTTAAGCAAGGTTGAACCTGGTCAGTACCTAGATGTGTGACCGCTCTGGAATACCAGATGATGTGAGTTTGGATGTGCCGGTGGTGTAATGGATCAGCTTGGAATGAGAAATCGGAGAGACGAGCTCGAATTTCAGTCGGGTTCGTTTTATTGACTTATGGGCAAATACCTTTGGGAAAGGTATGAATCAACCTCTTCTCCTCCCAGCTATAGTTTAAATAGTAAGACTTGTATCAGAAAATCATTAAGATCTTCCCAAAATTCTTAGTCTAAAATATGTTGCTGGTTTAAATGACCTTAAAACATTTGATAAGCCTTAAAAATAATTCAGTCAATCGGCAATTGCATATCTAATGGCACACGAAAAAAATTTATCTTAATATCTTTTTTGGTGCATATATACATTTATTTTTCCAAAGAGCATAACTGAATATATTCATCTACCTGATTCTTATCTGATTCTATATATATAAACATGTTAAAAACAATGACAAATTTACATAATGACGGTGTGTTCTCCTGTGAATGCGCGCCGACATTACCATATTGCACATGTGTGTAAATGTCTGTCCATCCGGATTTTATATGTATTGCAAACATGAGACAGGGTATACTCATGTTATTGTGTGTCTACAAGCCTCTACCTATTTAAATGATGGCGTATCGATTTGCTACTGTGTATGTATTAAATATTTCAGTCTGTATGCGTTTAAGTGTGCGCTTATATGACCGCCAACCAGTCAGGCAAGATAATAAATAAATAAATATACAAACAATACAATCATAAAAAATGGAATAAAAAGGCAGAAATGGCACTTGGAAATAAACAAATAAATATTGAAAGCAACAGTCCAAAAATGGCTACCAAAAGTTTCTAATAAAAAAAAAAATGCGTATAAAAACATTGGCACAAAAAATGGGGAAAAAACAGGCGGGAATAATCCTCTCCTCAGAAAACATAAAAAATATGACAATGCTAAAAATACAGACAAACAATAAAAGAAAGAAAAACAGTGAAACTAATAAAACATAAAATGATATAAAATCACGAAAGGGGTAAAAAAGAAAAAAGAAAAATGAGCGCGAAGGTGGCGGAGAAAAGAGCGGGAAAATGGCCAGTTAACGAAAACAAAATGGCGTCAACGCAAAAGGTGCGCCAGTTTGCTGTCTGCGATTGTCACAGGAAGGTGAGTGGATGGCAGGGTTTGGAAATAGTAGTAAGGACTTAGGGATGGGGTAGAAAAGAAAGGGGAACAGAAAAGAAGCACAGATAGAAAAAGGAGGACGATTTACAGAGAGAGAGAGAGAAAGAGAGAGAGAGAGGGAGAGATAGAGAAAGAGAGAGAGGTAGGTAGGGAGGGAGAGAGAGAAAGAGAGGGAGAGAGAGAAAGAGAGAGGTGAGGTGTGAGGAAAAGGCTTCACGTTTAAAAAATATTTAAAAATAAAGGGCGAAAGGTGAAGAATCTATAATGGAAAAAATGGTTGAAATGACAAAAAGAAAGAAACATCAGAGGTCGATTAAAATGAAGACAAACTAATGTTATTAAGGGCATTATCATATGCAGAGAATAAAAGAAAGGAAAAAATGATAGAAAAATAAAGAAATAAAAAAAGAAAAATGAAAGAAATAAAAAGAACGAAAGAGATGAAAAGCGGAAATGGAGGACATAGAAAGAACAAGGAATGAAAAAAAAAAGGAAAGAAAAAGTGAAAGAAATGAAAAGGACGAATGTCAAAAGAAACAAGAACAGAAAGAAAACGCAGTAAAAGAAAAGAAAAAAGATGACAAATGAAAGAAGGGAGAATGATAAAAGGAATGAAAGGTGAAAATGGAAAAAATAGAAAGAAAATGAAAATGAAAGAAATAGTTAAAAAGGTTGAAAGCGAAAAGAAAACGAAAAGAAAAATAGAAAGAAAAAAATAGGTAAGTAAGAGAGAAAGAAAAGAAAGAGAGAGACAGAACGGAAATAGTAAGAAAAAGAACGAAAAGAAAAAGTAAGAAAAAAATGAAATAAATGTTAAAATGGTGCTTTCAGAACGTGAGTTAAATAAAAGAATATAATGTCCAGAAAGGAGTTTTGAATTTTCCATACGGCAGTATTAAAATGTCGAAACTTTAAATGCCGAATTTCAAATAAGGCAGAACTTCCTCAATTGGAAAATGGGCGCAACACAATCTTCGTACTCGTATTTGGCTTTTAATGTTACCAAACTATGCTTAATACTTATAAAGAATCTAAAGTAGCCGGTAGAATTAAGAGAAAGATTCTGTCTGGCGAAGAGAAACTTTAGCGAATGAAACGAAAATAACAAGATTAACTAACAAGATAAACTAAATTGAAACAAGACTAGATATTTAAAAAAAATAAACAAAATAAATAAAACCGAAGCATCTGTAAGAGAATAAAAATAAAACAATGAAGATATAGAAAAAGTAAATTGTTTATAAGAAA